GATTCTGAGCCAAAATGAAGTTTTAATGCACCATAAAGGGTTAATGTTGAACTTGATGGTAGGGCTGCGTGCCAATCTAACTCCGAAGAAGATTTTAGACGAAGCTTTAATTCAGATATGAAGCTAACAACGTTATCTATTGATTGTCGTTCCTTTTTGTACCCAAAACCAGTTGAGATTAGAATGTGTGTTACTTTTGATGACCAGTTGGTCTTGCCATTATCATAGTCTAACGTTAAGAAATTGTAACATTTCTTACCAAACGTGATCCTGTCATATTGATTTTTTTACACCAATGCTTAATAAAATGTCTACACGCGAACTGTTGTGCAACTTCTGTTTCCTGGTATTTACAAACACCATATACTTCAGAACCATACAGTAAAAGTGGGCTGACTTTGGAATAAAACAGATCTTGGGGTAAAGGTTGCAGCAGTATAGCGATTTTATAATTCCACAGAGAATCTGTTTGCCTGAACGGATGCGTGATTGACACGATTAGACCATGACAAATATCAAGATAATAACAATCCAAGATATTTATCACATGTAAGAAACCTAGGGTAAATTATGTCTATTGTTTCGTGGGTGCATTGCTATCGTGGAATGACCGCCAGTCTGCATGTACCGCTCACTACTGATTATCCAACAAGTATACTTGCTGATCAGAGGGAGGTCCATACTGAAGATTTATTAACTTGTCCCTTACTGGTAGAGTTGTTCAGGTTGTTTATTGACCTGTCCGTCACTGGAGAGGTTTTACCAAGATATTTATTAACCTGACCCATGGCGCAAACCAGGCGTGGGGTAGCGGATAAGTTCTTTAAAATAAATCAACAGACACGTGTTTCAATATTTATTCTGAGATGCCATAAACCATGCCATTTACAGTTCAGCTGAAGTTGAATGTGACACAAATGTTCCGCGAAGCGTCTTTTTTGTTTTTTTCTCGCAAGTCGTGATCAGAGACAATTTCACTGGAAACGGCTGTTGGCGGTGCTGCAGATGACGTAATAGCAGTAACAGTAGCAGTAGCAACTGACGGCGGCGCAGTAGCATCATCTGGATATGGTCTCGTGGCAGTGGCAGTAACAGACTTTTTCTGCTTTCCCCTACCATAGATGATGTCCGACACCAGCAGTTTCTGATCTTCGGATGTCCGTTTATAAGTGCGCACAGTTTCGCTTCGATGGCCTGAAACATATACGCTGTCAATTGTACCTTTCATATGATAACACTACTCCAAAATAGTTGCCCACAAATAATTTATATGTTATCTTTGCCACCAATTTGGAAGTAAAAATATTTTTAAAACTTCAATCCGTAAAATGTTGCTTTACCTGTCTGCTCGAAAATAAGTTGCCCATCAACGTTGGCTCTGTATAGTCTGGTGGCGGATGTTGCCCTGAGAGAGTGATTTGTTCGCTTTCCCTCGATTCCTGCATTCCGACACAGTCGCTTGATTATGCCTTGAAGCGTGTTGTGTCCTATCGGGAAATTGCTGAAACATCTGTCTGCCTAGTGTTTCGCTAATGGTGAGTAGTAGAAAGCGTCCATTTTCTGAGCATTGGTTAGAAAGATGTCCTCGTCGCTCATCATGTTCACGGTAAAAGTGTGTGGTTACTGTGGGAATGCGCACGTTTAAAAAGAAGCTGGTCACGTGACATGACAATTGTAAAACCTCTCCCAAGTGTCGGCAATCTGCACGTGCAGTGCGTGATAATCCGGTCAGCTGGGATATGTTTGGTTACGTCCTTGTCACGTGACATGACGATTGTAAACCTCTCCCAAGTACAAGCAATCTGCACGTGCAGTGCGTGATAATCGGCACATGCGTGATCTGATCAACTTTCTATAACTTACGTCAGTACAGCGAATCAAAACCTAGTTCTCATACACTCGAATTTTTCAGGACAATATAAAGCAAATTTTGGCATTTTATTGCAAAAAAACCCGAGTTTCCCCACGGTTTCTAAGCTAGATAAAACACTCCTCCTCGGTTATGCTTGGGGATGTAAAACACTCGGCGATCGGGGATCGGAAATGTAAGACCTCGGGGCTTCGCCCTCGGTCTTACATTTCCTCTCCCCTGTCGCCTCGGGTTTTACATCCCCAAGCATAACCTCGGAGTCGTGCTTTATCCTATAAATACACACTCAAGCCTATGATCATTAAAAACCATTTTTCGACTCTTGATAAACTACCTACCTTTTTGAAGACAATTTCAGTTACTAGATATGTACATTACATGTCCATATATTCACGGGTGTGTTTCCACTGTTACCTTCGTTCCCAAACCGACATGTATCATAAAGTTTTCTACCATAATAAGAAACCGTATTTGACACAAATAACTTACTGACATATAACTTTCTGTCTGATTCAAATGATATGAATTGTCGTCTCGCAACAAAAGTCTGTCGTTTCTGTTCACACTATGCATTAAACTGTTGTGTCCAAAACTGTTACAGAGAGATTAATCCAATGAATGTTTTGCCTGTACGGGGTAAATGTGTAAATGTTTACAGCAGTATCTGACATAAGTCACATATGAAAGCAGCTTTGAATATAATTATTTCGAAACAACTTTGACACACCTGACTCCCATATTCCATCGCTACATATACTAATGTGTGAAACATTATTGGTGGTATAAAAGAATGCATGAGAATACACGCTCGAGTATGAGTGTTGTATGTGTGAACGCAGTTCCGTGTGGGACGAAAGCGAGGCTGACACAAGAGACTCCACATCGAATGTACAGAGCATCCTGTTGTTGCTTATTATGTTTAAAGGGGCACTGATCTAACGCAATTCCCCGGGACTGGTTGTTGCCTTTGTTATTGTTTTTTCCCAGTGAGTACCCGGATGTATAGCAGAAATCTAGACTAGTTCGCGACCTCTGCTGCGCCATTCCTAAACGCATAAGTCACTTTTATGGGTAGTAATAAGGGCGTATGGTCACACTGATCAACAAAATGAAATACAGTTTTCGAGATGATAAGGAAATGTAGGTATCTTTGTGGGTAGCATCGGTAATGGTGACGAAGTTTTGATAAGTCACTTGCTTGGTAATTTTGCGATTTTCGTTTACACTATTTTGACTTGCTACACAAAGTAAATATTTCACCTGAGCATTGCTTTTTTTATAGTGTGTATATTTTTTACTGTCAAATGTGTAACAAATTTATTAAACGTCTAAATATTCAGTTATTTTACGAAGTGACTGAAAAACATTTCCATCTGTATTATTATGATAACGAATTCCAAAAATTTTGATGTTTAATGTCATCACCAAGAGACTGAAAATGTTACGTTGAAAAGTACATTTCCATGTTGTTTGGCTTTTAATCCTACATAATAATCTGTTGTGATGTTTGTAGGCCCTTTTGATCGTCTTAATCAATCTGGACAGATTTTTTAGTCAAAATGACTGAAATATTTACACATTTTATAAATTGCCTGAGAGAATCACATTTTACAAATTGACGGTAATATATACACGGTTACAAAGGAATAGACATGTGAAAACAACATCTATCGCTCATTGAAGAATTTCCCAACCAAGACGTAGAGAAACAAGAACGAATCGGTTCAAATGAAGGAAAACAAAATGCAAATATCATAATTACAACCTACCAAATTTATGTGTATAAATTTTAGGCAGCTTCCTTGTTCGAAGAATGTATCCGTGAATATCCACACAAAGGAACAATATTCCACTCGTCTGCAGCTGTACAAAGAAACTTATTCGATGTCACGTGTCTCAGTAACAATCAAATATTTTAAAAGATATATATCATTTCGGGATATTATAACCCGTGTTCGTTTCTCAACTGATCACCTGGATTGTTTCAGGTGTTTCACATAGGTGTCAAGTCTCAATGGTCTGCTGAGAAAGCCCACGTGACAACTATTTTCATAACGTCCACGGTTCCTAAAAAATCCATTGAGTGATGGATAACAATGATCAATCAATCAACGTATTAACAGTTAACCCTTTGAACAAAGTATGTTGTTTTTACATCGGCACTTCACGCCATGATATGAGTGTATTCCCTTTGTTTTAGTAAACCTAGACATGTAAACACTCACTCTTGACATATCCACTGTGCAAGATAACAGTGATAAATCAATCAACGTATTGTCTGTTAATCCTTTAATGACTAGGAACGATCCGTTGATTTACAAAAAAAAGTAAATCAACTGATCATTCATCTCTTGCTGGGCTGCCACGTGCATATTACATAACACACATTTCACCTCACTTCAAACCTGGATTTAGATTGAATAATTACCCCAGACACAATAAATGCCAAATTGGAACCTTTGTCAGGTAATCTAAGTGGTGCTACCACTAATTGTACCTGTAATAAATTCATTAACTGAGCATCAAGTGAATGACGACAAATACACAAGTGTAGGGTTATACGAGAAAACGTGGATGACAACAAGGGAGTATTAATCGTATTGTCGACGCAAGCCGAAATCCGAAAATGCTTTCACTGCATGGATACTTTTTTTAGTATTAAACTATAACCATCTTGGGTATTTCCAAATGACGACATCCGATGAGCTCCGCTGTTCTTTTTGTCTGTTTGTTTAGGCTGAAGAAATTAATTAACATGCGCCCTTTGTCGAAATCTTTATAGATCACAGTTAACCAATCAGTGTTTATGCAAAAACGCGTAAAACAAATATTGCCTCCAGCCTCAAAATTTATTTAGCTGTCCTTGCAGTCTCTGGTCACGTTCAGTTGCGTTGCGTATCATCCGGGTACTCACGGGGAAAAAAACAATAACAAAGGCAACAACCAGTCCGGGGAATTGCGTTAGATCAGTGCCCCTTTAAATTAGGTTGGAGATGACTGGATACTAGTAGTCACATAAACAATCTTATTGGTACAAAGTTTATAACGTGGGAGGATATTTAAATTTTGAAATTGACCGAATGCTGCTTATAAAAATACGTAAATAAGATAATTCCCGATTGGTTAATAGCATAAGCCTCGAAGTGGTTCCAGGATCTTTAAGACGGGCAGGGGCGTTGATACCCGGATGTTCGCTACTATAAAGCCTACTGGAGACATTTGTTCGCTACCCCATCTCCGGCAAGACGCAAGATATCACGATCATCAACAAACCTTGGTAAGTATAATAAGTATATTTTTTCTTCATCCCTCATATCCTTGATATGAGCTTCTGTATTGTTCACTTATGATTTAATCCTGTTATGGTTATTTTAGGGCATAAGCTATGTTTATATTGTTGTGTCTTTGACAACGAGAAGGATATTCTCAGTGCTCAGGTGGGGAATAAAGCTAGAAAATACGTACCGAGCTCTATTTACATTTTGAATACTGAAATTAATACAGGACATATATAACTTAGACCTTTTGTACGACAAACAACATGAGACGTTAGGCAACAAACAAACACTTACCTTTGTTTGTAAATGATGTGAGAGAGTGTTACCGGTAGGGCAGGACATGCTTACTCTTTCGCGAACACCTGATGTCATCAGTCATTTTCAGTGATCCATTCATATAATGTTCACCGCTATTTTGCCTTTACGCCCAATGGAATCTGTTTCGGCAGATACTCGAACTAATTATTCTGCAGGCGTTGACATTCCATGTTTATATTAAATATACAAGCAACTAGGAAGACACGATACAGTAGAGAAGTAGAGGTAAATAAATATAAATCTAGTCTTTGAATGACATGTAAAAGTGATACACATAAAGAAGAGAATTTATGGATGTCAACTTCTTTTTTATGAGGAACACAGCCTTTCGGAGTATATATATGCTTACTCCTCCATCATGCGATTTACCTGATGAATGAGTAAGCATATATTCCGAAACGTTGTCTTCTCCATAATTCATCTATGGAGTAAGCAAATATTTCGAAACGTTGTGTTCTTCATAACAAAGAAGTTGAAATCCTTAACTTCGCTGTCTTAAATATTAATATGTTTGTGTTCACTTTCAATTGGAGGACTAATTTGAAAAAGCAATTATTTTGTTCTTCAGGTTTTGATACTAAATAGGGATGAGGCTCTATATTCACAATATAAATAGATAAAGGTTGTCATATTAAGGTAAATTTATTACATTCGAGAAAATAGTGAAAAGCATTTCAGCATAGCCAACCACAAGAGTAAGATTTTATGTCAGGCAAATTAACTTTAAGCAAATCACCATTCAGATTGCTACATCAATGTCTAAGTTGAGACACAGGACCGGAATTTTGCTCAACATTTCAACAATCAGAAGAGATGAGGATTGAGATATACAGTATACTACACTGAGTTTCGTTAGATACCAGCTTTGCGAAACGAGTGGTGTTTCTATTGTATCTGACCTAGCAAAAGCAAGGTCATATACAACAGAAAGTTCGTGAGTTTCGTTAAGAGGGTATCTAAAGAGAGTGTGGTATTCTATTTATTACCCACGTTCAACATAAATAAAATAAATAAATAACAATTTCGTTGCGAAAGAGGTCGGTTGAATCACGATTATAGGGACCCATATCTATTTGTAGTCATACATGGCAAATGGCTATGGCTCGTTTAAGTCCGTAGCAGATCTGTGCATAGGTAATATAAAATGCAAGCGAATTTGATGCGCACGCACGCACGTACGCAAAAACGCACATTCCTGCATATACACTGGACAAAATATCATCCATTCCAAAAAATCCAAAACTTTGAAATACCACCATTCCAATTGGAATTATGACCATTCCAATATTTGGAAAGGTCATATTTCCAAGCTTGGATTTGTTTGGATTTGTTTGGATTTGTTTGGAAATGTTTGGAAATGTTTGGAAATGTTTCGATACAACATGTCATAATCATATCTGTTAAAAGTTGTACAACTTTTGACCTTATGTGAGATTAGTAATGACATAAAAGTAAATAATTAAGAGTATTTTGGCACTATGTACCACGAAAAGACCAAATCATGAGCAAATTTAACTAAAAGAAATTCTGTCATTTAAAGTGGCTACTCTTTATATTTAATTTCTTATCTTCCTTGTCAGTAATCATATGACATTGACTTTGAACTTTGAACAATTAAACAAATATATTTTGTTTTCCCATACCGACGTACGGTTGTTGTAGAACAAAGACCGTTTCGAGAATATAGAGGGCCTCATTATTATAATTTGAACTAATATACATATGTACATAATAGTACTAGGTATAAATGAATTTTGATAAGTGTTCGTACAAGAATATGAACTTCAAATTATCTCGGAATTATGCGCAACACATAGGGCTGAAAATTTTATAACTGTTCTGGAACTATCTGACGGTAATTCAAAACAGGGAACAAGATTTCGTCAAATGAATCATTGAGCCAGGAATGCAACGATTTAAATGCTGACAAAATGAACAAACATATCTGGAACAGAGTAGACTGTTCATGTGGACAATTATATGCTACGTCTATTGCCAATGAAGTTTATCACCCCATGTTATAGCATTTGTTTCATATAAAAGATAGAAACCAAATAAATGGGACAATTAGTTGTTATGAATTGTTACCTCTGTGACATATCACACAACTAAATGTGAATATGTTTATCAAATAATCAATTACAGTAATTAACCTAGTGTCCTTATTTATACACAATTTAATTACGTATTGGGGTACAATATATAATACACATATACACGGAATGATTTCTTATTTTGTCAATTTAATCATAACCCAAATCATACAAATCAAAAGTGTGAAAGTAGTGACTAACTTTATGATCAAGGGTATAAATACTCAATTGTATCTATTAATCCTAATAGTATAACAATAAACCCTGTGTATATACTGAGCATATTTAGATACATCCGGATCTACGACCGCAGCCATATAATTAATCAAGGAAAGTATATTAGATTGAATTACAAATGTGCTATCACTTAAACAAAATTTTCCGTTATCCACGTAAGCCTAAACCTGGGAGAAATAAAGTTCTGTTCTGTTCTGAAGACGCCGTCATGATTAGTTGGCGCCAGTCTAGACTGTCCAATCAACGTGAATATACAAACCGTGATGTTACTTGACCAGTTGATGACACCTGTCAAACTCAAAGTGCCCCTGGTCCTCCACCCACCATGTGTAATACTTGAGCGCACTTGATTGTTTAATTTGCAGTTATATCACTGTTAGGCTGAGTGATGAGAGAATACATTTTGTTGTTTTTGTTAACGATCGTTTCCATTTTCAACGTGGTAACCTTATAAGTGACTAACTTTTTTATCATGATGAAATGAAACATATTAAAGTAATCAGAGGGACGATCGCATTTTTCGCATAAATGTCATGCTCGCATTAATTTCATGATTTACTGAAGATAGATTTGAACATTTCTGAGCAACGATCATGTTTGGGTAAGGGAAGTAATCTTGTCTCCGCTTGCAATTGGATTCAGTTCCGAGATCGCAGCTTGACGGTTCGGTACGGCCGAAAGGCGGCATCCATGTTGTTCACGCTCCGCTGATCACGGGGCCTCATTTGTCTGTATTCTGCTTATGAGCCGGGATGCGCATGAAACACGGGTGTCAAAACGAATATATTTACCAATTATTCGTACGGTCAATTAGCCAGTCCAAGAGACAATACCCTGGTTCTACCACCTTTAGGTGTAATTACGTCGCATGCCCCTGGTTCACGGTTCGTCTGATCTCCCGTCATAAAACCACGATGTTTATTTACCTGAAGCCTCCGACAGCGCCGACTTCCTGTGTACATGTACATGAATCAATCAATAATTATTGACACGGTGATGTAATTAAAATTTGTCACTATTCACAATTCCTATTTTTATTTTTCTATTGTTCAGCTGTACTTTCGACCAGTTTTATATGTGTAAAATATCTTCTCTTGTATTTATAAACCAAACCTAAAAACATTATATAAGAACAATTGTGTTTTTAAACCGTAAGTTTTCTATTAAAACAACCATGCAAGTAAGATTTCAACCGTAATATTACTTTAGTCACTCCACAGATTACACATCTTATATGCTGCAAACGCAGCGAATGTAATACAACTACGTCACAGCTGCCTCGGTAATTAAGGGCTGGAATGTTTTTGTGAAGGCAGTTAGAGCAGACGAATTTCCCCCCTCGCTGTATAATGACGGTCGCTAACCAAATATGTGTATTTTTACTGTTTTTGGCTTGATTTGTTTGTCCTTTGGTGAAAACAAATGTTCAATTGTGAAAGCAAACCCTTTTCCCCTGAACGTTAAAAGACAGCTGACTTTGTTTTTGTCTGAAATATCAACGTTTGGAGTCGTTTATATATTCGGAAATCCATATTATGGTTAATATTTATAATATAATATGGACAATCTTATCTTATGTTAAGTAAAACAATTATTGATAACTTCCAGAATTCCAATTGTTCAATGAACAGAATTATTCACAGCTCTGGCGTGAGACAACAATAAATTAGATGTTACCAAAGATTGTCCATTTTATGATCTTAGGCACATGTCGGCGCACTTACATGTGAGCCGTCTAGACGACTGTCTGTTTTGTAATTAAATGGCAGCTGCCATCCAGCCGAATACTTAATCATGAGACATATTAGTTGTCTCATAATTAACCAAAACATTAGGCCAAGAAACCAAACTCTAGCTCGCAAACACCCCTTACTCACCTCAATATCCCAAAGAATAACTAACTACCTCAATGAACACCAAACTCAAAATCTTAAACAAAACTGCAAAAAATCAAATATCTTCACCCCTAAACTCAAAATACCCAAAATAGACACAACGCTAGCTAACCAAATAAATAAACAACCGACCCAAACATAGCTAAAACCACCACACTTGCATACATACACGAAAATTGGCCAAATGGGTGTCACATATACACTGACGGATCTTCAGACCCGATCTCCAACCACACAGGCTTCGGAGTCCATACCACACAACCAGTTATATCCACACAATCTTACCGACTCCCTAACAACCAATCTATATTCACGGCCGAACTTATGGGCATGGCCTCAGCCCTGCATAACCAACAATCTAAAAACAACAATAAAATCCTAATTCTCACCGACTCCCTTAGGGGACTACAAGCCCTCCAAAACAAAAATACCCCAAAACGACGTAAATTAATAAACCAAATACTTAAAAGCTCCAACAACCTAACAAAAGCAGGCAAACAAATAACCTTCTTGTGGATCCCCGCCCACGTAGGAGTTACGGAAACGAAAGCGCCGATAAAGCAGCTAAATTATCTCTTAAAATACCAGAAATAAGCCTAAACCTACCCATCTCAAAATCAGAAATTAAAAGTGTAAACAAACAAAAAATAACCAAAAAATGGCATAATCAATATCAAAACTCAAATAGCCAAACAGACCTAATTAAGCGCATGTAAAAACTAATTAATCTACCAATCCAATAAACATACAAACACCCATCTCTACCGGCTCCCTTAGTTCCCTCCTCCACCCACCTCAGCATTTATTCCAAATTTAAAAATCTCAAAAATTCAATATAAGCAACCCCTAAAAGCCCCCTCTTGGGTTGCACACACCACTTTCACCCTTTTCGGAATAAACTAAATGGTCCGGCCAGGCCCGTGTGCGAAATACGCTGCAGTCGGAAAGCGCACGTTAGATCTTCTATATCAGTCAGTAGTTGTCTCAGCACTACACAATCAGCAATCTAAAAAACAACAAAAAATCCTCATCCTAACCGACTCCCTCAGTGGACTACAAGCCCTCAAAAATAAAAACACTAAAAACCACCCCCAAACTAATAAATCAAATACCCAATAGCTCAAACAACTTAACTAGGGCAGGTAAACAAATAGAGTTCATTTGGACCCCCGCCCACGTAGGAATCTTTGGAAATGAAAAGGCAGATAAAGCAGCAAAATTATCCCTTTAACTCCCAGAAATAAGCTTAAATTTACCCAGCTCAAAATCAGAAATCAAAAGTCTCACTAAACAAAAAATCAACAAAAAATGGCAAAATATATACCAAAACTTAAATAGCCAAATCCGGAAAGTACTAAAAAAACCCCTAAATAAACCAAAAATACTACACCCATCCAAAACAAATCGACAGAATAATTACTAAACTACAAACAGGCCACACCAAACTAAATAATCACCGTAAAATAGCTAATCTACACACAACAGGAAACTGCCCACATTGCAAACAACAAGAAACACCAGAACACGTACTCATTCACTGCACACACTACCACACCGAAAAACACTACAGACCACCCTAAATCTTAAAACCGGACCTACACTAGAATCAATCCTAAATCCACAAAATAAATTATCTAACAACCACCCAACACACACAGCTCCCTTAGTTCGTCCCCCACCCACTCTTGGCATTCTTTCCAAATCTCAAAATTTCAAAATTACTATATAAGCAACCCCTAAAGCCCCTAATTCATAGTCTTTTTATTGTTCAAATTACTGATAAAACATATTTTAACTTGTTCCTTCTAACCATATTTCCAAACAATTCCAAACCATTCCAAACCATTCCAAGTCATTCCAAACATTTCCAGTGTTGAAAATATGTTTGGAAATGTTCCCATTCCAATTTTGGATTTTCTGGAAAGATCGATCTTTCCAAGCTTTGGAAAGTTTGGAATGAGCGATCTTTCCAAAGCATTCCAACGTTCATTCCAAATTGGAATGGACGCTATTTGGTCTTGTGATACGTCGCTAAAGAAGTGCAAAGATCATGAACGCGCCGGTAAAGCCCATTTTCACCTACCCTCACCTTCGTGTATTTACCTTCTTGACACGTGATAATTCAATAATGTTCTTTTTCAGGTTTGAAAGCTCCAAACACCTGCAGTGAGAATGGTAGGACAGAATCTCTGCATTTAGTTAGACTAATGACTAAGAGAATATCTATTGCTGTATTGCATCAGTCCTGATTAGGATTCATTACTTCAACTTTAAGTTCTTTATGCTCATTTAATCAGCATGCGTTGGAACCAGGGATTGATTCAAAGACAAGGTGTACAATAGGAACTAAACATAATAGTGCAGCCGTTTCTTCACAGATATAGGGTCAGGTGTGCACTTTGTGACAAAAGCATGAAACTTGGCACAGTTGTAGGTTACGACATTCCCAATATTTCCAGATATAGGGCAACCCAAAAGATACAATATGGCCGCCATGGAAGAATGGAATTCAAGTATATCTCCTGTGAACATGACCCACAACCTAAATAGATAATGAAATATGAACATTTTGGAACGCATTTACCCAACACCACATTTGTCAAATAAATAACTTTGTTATAATAGACTATTGATCTTGATTTAGATCATGTAAAGTGTGAAACAAATGTGCATTTCTTTATTCTCCGGAATATCTTTAAGGCATACGTCATGAAGGCTAATTAACAATACCAATATTATGTACTCATATGACACCAATAGTATATTTAAAGAACAAAATTTGAGTTTTTGAAAGATGCGGCAAATAGCTAATGGATTGGTTGGCTAGGGACAATTAAATGTGATCAAGGTCGCCACCACATTTGCAAAGCGGGTGTACTAATTAAGCAGTGGCCTATATGTATCACGAAATAAAAAAACACATTTATTAATATTCGTTAATTGACCTTACGAATAAACAATATTGGAATACCTAATTGGCTTTAATGATGTATGTCTTAAAGGTTTGCCAAAGAAGACAGAAATGCATATTGTTTTTAATTGTTTCGCACTTTAGATTCCCTAAATGAAGATAAATAGTATGTTATGATAAAGTTATTTACTACACAGATGTAGTGTTTGGTAAATATATTCCAAAATAATATATATAGATTGTGGGTCAAGTTCATACGAAATATACTAAAATTTCATTCCTCTTTGCGGCCATATTGGAGTTTGTGGGGTGGCCTCATATCTCAAAATATATAGAATGTCCTAAACTAAAACATGGGCAACATAGTTAAATACATGTGGACAGTTCTGTATGCCTGTAATTTAAAATGTTCTCACTTTTTCATCCTCTGGTTTTAGAGCACCATTCAGCCACAAATCAACGTTATCTTGTACAGCAATGCCGATCTTAATGGCGACTGTGTACAAGTCCCGGCAGACATAGCGGATTTGAAAGGCTTTAAAAACCGGGCACAATCAGCCATTGTAATCCATGGAAAGTAAGTAAATCCATTTTACACAAATCAACCTGGAATGTGTCACACTGTATTTACAATATATTCAGACCCGTGAAGATCCAGGATAAAATAGTTCTTCAGCAACCCATGCTTACCGTAAGAGGCGACAAACGGGATCGGGTGGTCGGGCTCGCTGACTTGGTTGATGCATGTCATCGTATCCAAATTGCGTAGATCGATGTTCATGATGTCAATCACTGTATTGTCTGGTCAAGGCTCGATTATTTAAAGACCGCCGTCATATAGCTGGAATATTGCTGAGTGCGATGTTAAAAAACAAACAAACACAATATATTCATATATTCATATAGATGTTTGTGATAAGTGGTGGTTTTAGCTTTCATACACCATCAAAAATATAAAGAACTCTGGGCTATGTTAGGTACAGGGCGAGCAATGGATCAACCATCAGTGTATTGACTGTTCATCGTGGACACATACTGGTGTTCTTTAAATTTCTACCTTCTTGATTTCAGTTGGGAGCTGGCAAGCAGTGAGGGAAACACTTATGCTATAAGCGAGAGCACCGGAAGGTATACCAACCTTGGTAGTTTCAACCAAAAGGCCGTCTCCATCAGGCGAACATAAGGTACGTTCATTTTCTTCTATAAAAAACGCCTATTGACGAATGCCTTACATTTCTGAGAATATCAAGAAGTGCCTTAAAAGTTTGCATACGTCCACTGAACTGGTACTATGTACCGTTGACTGCCTTAAACTGAGACATAATCGACTGGAAAAAACCTGAGGTGTTAAAAATGGAAAGAAACTGATAATTTGATCTCAGAATTCACTACTGCCTTCAGCTTGCCTGAAACCAGCACTAGTATCTGTATTTTTGTATTATCCATCACATGACAGAAATCTGTTCTAAAGGAGTTATTTAATTGCTTAAATATCCATCTAGTCGCTTAATCAATGCGTGTCCAATATTTATTTGCAGGCGACGTTGCCATGAAGTACGACCCTCTCAAGGAAGGATGGATTGAACAAGAGCTGACATAGCAGCCACCTTATAAGCGCAGCTTAATGCTTTTTCCTTGTTATATACTCCAGATTACCTTGCTATTAATGTCCAATATTTGCTTTAGTGGGTTACGCTCACTGCCTTTTGGAACAGAATTTGAATTCAAAATCATGAATGGTCATTATTTCAAAGAGCAATTACCGAATTATAACCCCAAATACGTTGCCGGTAATTTCTTAGTGAAATTCTAAAGATCGAAAATACAACGCAGGAAATAATTGTTCTTTTCTATTCTGTTACTCTCAGTGTAACACTAGCATTTCCGTCTGTACGCCTTGCATCACATGTGCTGCTATGATCTGTCTATATTACAACGAAAACTCAAAGGATGCAGTTGACATTTTGTCGTCTCAAACTGACGTAGATGTACTTAAAGCTTCAACATGTGTCAGTATCAGATTAAATTATAAGGAACAGTCCATGTTTCTGCATCCGCTACTATTTTAAATGATAATGAAAGTTCTTCTCTCAAGTAGTTTCATGTGGGGCTTTGCAGTTTAAAATGTCATTTCACACCAAATTGAATCAGGAAATAAAAAACAAAACTCAATTTATACTTTGACTCGATCATCGCTCGTTGTTGAAAATAAATATTGATGAAATATTAACCCTTTCTTGTGTATATCTTACGTGTTCTCAGGTATAACAGTACAGTAAATTACAGTTATAACGAGCTCAAAGGGACCACTAATTTTAGATCGTTATATCCGTCAGTTCGTTATAAGCGTGTTCGTTATAAACGTAGTTTACTGTATATGTGTTTGATGCCAATGAGCACAAATCAATAATGTCATCCAACAATAATAATAATAATAATAAAGCGACAAGACTCTTTCCATATCCAATAGAAATTCTGCATAAAGCAGAGTTGATTGTACAATTCTGACTATATCATGAGCATGTGTTCACTATCAAGTAGTAATGATACCAGGTGTTCGCGAAACGGTGAGCGTATCTTGCCGGATGGCACCCGTCACACACACATGCAAAGGCAAGTCAACTATTCACCTGAAAAAAAACAACATGAGAACACATGGCACAAGTCAAAATAAGGAATTGCATCGGACACCATTTTTGTCACTGATGCGTCAAATTTGGAAATGTCCTCCACCTTTTGAAACATTTACTGAGGCCTTGAATGTTGTAATGTTGATCAAACAACGTCTTAGCAAGAGTCGAATGACGCCTCCATTGTGACATGACAAGCATATGACGTCATATCGAACATTATATTTTCCGTCCTGGTACACATGTCACAAAGCCTACTTTGCTCTATGATTGTTGTCAGTCAATGTTAAAGCTGCAACTTGCGGCTTGCACCAACCAGAGCATTCTTGTCAGTGAGTGAGTGGCCAAAACTGTGCGGTGAACTAACGCCTGTGATATATCCTCCTCCACAGTTCGAGTCACTGTCTCATGGTGAACTAACGCCTGTGATATATCCTCCTCCACGGTTCTAGTCACTGTCTCATGGTGAACTGAAGCCTGTGACAGATCCTCCTCCACGGTTCTAGTCACTGTCTCATGGTGAACCGAAGCCTGTGATATATCCTCCTCCACGGTTCTAGTCACTGTCTCATGGTGAACTAACGCCTGTGATATATCCTCCTCCACGGTTCGAGTCACTGTCTCATGGTGAACTGAAGCCTGTGACAGATCCTCCTCCACGGTTCTAGTCACTGTCTCATGGTGAACCGAAGCCTGTGATATATCCTCCTCCACGGTTCTAGTCACTGTCTCATGGTGAACTAACGCCTGTGATATATCCTCCTCCACGGTTCGAGTCACTGTCTCATGGTGAACTAACGCCTGTGATATATCCTCCTCCACGGTTCTAGTCACTGTCTCATGGTGAACTAACGCCTGTGACATATCCTCCTCCACGGTTCTAGTCACTGTCTCATGGTGAACTAACGCCTGTGATATATCCTCCTCAATGGCTCTAGTCACTGTCTCATGGTGAACTGAAGCCTGTGATATATCCTCCTCCACGGTTCAAGTCACTGTCTCATGGTGAACTAACGACTGTGATATATCCTCCTCCACGGTTCAAGTCACTGTCTCATGGTGAACTGAAGCCTGTGACAGATTCTCCTCCACGGTTCTAGTCACTGTCTCATGGTGAACTGAAGCTTGGGGCTGAGTGTCAGACGATCAGAGTGTCAGTTGAGGAAACTGTCACCACAGCTAAAGACATGACAGGAAACGAGCGACACTGCAACATATGAGCGTGACATATTGCGTTTCAGTATTGAACAGGTCAGCTAGTGTTTAAAGAATTTCTATCGTGATTGTCGATTCTCCACATGGATATTTAAACGGGTTTGAGGTTGAGACATGGTTGTCAGGATGTTTGATGGCCCACCCAAGACTTCTGTTATCATGAGATTACGTTTTAAACGTACTTAACTGAAAACGCTGACAAATAATAAAACTCATGTTATTTAAGATATTTGATGACATTTGCACGAAGTATTATTTTACGCGTTTTTCAGTTTTGCAGTCAGATTATTATTTTCTATAGTGTTTGTATAATTAATGTACTGAAAAAATAATAACAATGCCCAATGGTAGGGGAACTATTGCTGCATTGTCATTATTAGAGGAACAAAATAGTGTCATTATTATAGGAACAAAATAGTGTCATTATTAAAGAAACAAAATAGTACGGTTATTATAAGAACAAAATAGTGCCATTATTATGGGAACAAAATAGTTTCATTATTATAGGTATGAAATAGTGCCATTATTATAGGAACAAAATAGTGCCATTATTATAGGTATGAAATAGTGCCATTATTATAGGAACAAAACAGTGTCATTATTATAGGAACACAATAGAAATAAACGTCTATGAAATAATTATAAAAATTTGGCATTAAATGTTTCTAGTTGTAGATTTACTTTATCATGCCAGGCGTGTTCCTGAATTGAATGGAAAGGTGTTTCTGTAGACGTTAAATTGTCCTACATCACGTGACCCGATCCTGCTTCAAGCATACCAATGGCTGGCAGACGCTCATTTTCGGACAGGCGTGGCATTTCGTAATGTTAAATAATTGTGTAATTTTGGTGTTTTTCTGAATGGTTGGTGTCAGCACGATGCTAAACTTTTGCTTGTTTGAAAAATACACTAATATATATATATATATATAAATATGTATATAATGATGCAGGTCTCATACGCTTACCACTTTGGTGAAACCCATGAGCACGGGGAAGGTGCTGACAAACCTAGAAACATAATCGGGGCGAACCGGGATTCGAACCCACAATCATAGGTTTCCCGGCGTTCCCAAGGGACGCAACTCTGCACAGCGAATCGCGTCGCCTTAGACGACTGGGCCACCTGTGCCCCCTAAACATTCATAGAACAATTTAAGACACTGTATTCATACTTTGTTGTGAAACCACGCACTCAGTAATGTTCCAGCTACATGACGGCGGTCTGTAAATAAGCGAATCTGGACCAGACAATCCAGTGATTGGCATCATGAACATTGCTCTAAGCAATTGGAATACGATGACATGAATCAACCAACTCAACGAGCCTGACCACCCGATCCACAAACAAAGTCGCCTTTATGGGAAGTACGGGTAGACCTATTCTACCCCAGATCTTCATGGGACTTGCATGTTTAATATACATCAGGGTGAAAGGTTTTAGAACTCAGTCATGAGTATACGTTACATATATTGTGTTTAGCGCTGTTGTTGGAAAATAGTCTTGCCAATTGATGGGTATAGGTGAACTTATAATTTTCGGGGATGTGTAGAGATCTTTGGAGAGCAAAGAATTTACATTTTAAAAAGCAATGATATTCATCAGCCACTACAGTGGACGTACATAGTTGCCATGTTCGTTCTTCTCTAGTGTGTGAGTGAGTTAAAACGTAACGTCGCATTAACATTATTTCAGCAATATAGCGACGAGAGTAAGTTGATATATTCAAATGTGAGTCATTGATTCAAGGTTATGTTTATAAATATTTTTTCAAACATATTTGGGCATGACAATATTATTTATACAGTTTAAAACACGGGCTGTAGGCCACCAGTAACCAGAGCTAGGCCACCTCGCTAGGGATCATGGGGACTTATGGTACCTCGGCTTCCTGCATGATACCCCGGCAGGATTTACGTCATCGCTTTAACTACTGGTGGTTGTGCACAATACAAGCCATTATTAAAAAATACTCAGCAATGAGTTGGCTTAAAACTCTGGTTGATGTTAGTGCCATCGATTATGATTAATTGATTGATCATTAAACGTTTTATAGGTGTTCGGGCAAGTAGGCCCATTTACACCTTGCCCATAATAAAGGTTTGCTAAGTGCCTAGATATTTCATAAAGTAGTAAAACTGCTTTAACATATGCAAGAATAACCATCTGAACGTCATCGCGAACGATATTTCTAGAACATAAAGGTCCAGCCAATGAGAGGTCAATATTGAGAACTGTTAGAGACTCCACCATTGCCTTACGCTGATTTACATACTCTTGGCAATGCAGTAAATAATGAGCTACATTATCAAGCTGATTACACACTGTACAATGTGCAGAAATGTCTTGATAATGACGAAGTCTGGTTAAGAGAACCTCCTGTCTCCAATTGTTTCGAGATAAATTGGATTGTGTTAATAAAAAGGCTCGATGCCATAGAGATGACGTCCTTTTAAGGATGATGCCCATCTCTGTTGCAATTAAGTTTTAACATGGATCTTACTGATTGTGCCTAATTCTGCAGGAGAAGGTAATATTGTATCATCTTGTACTGACTCATCCAAGTCTAATGCAGCTTTAGCTAATTTATCAGCCTTCTCATTACCACGCAGTCCAACATGAGCAGGTATCCATGAAAATTCAACATCTAACAGATCTTTACTTAGTTCATTAAAAAGGGGGAGAACAATGTTGATTAAGTCCTGCCTCGCTGGGATAGATCCTACCCGAATTGCTGGTAAAGCAGTGAAAGAGTCACTAAAAATGACCGCAGACACAGGCCTTAAAAATGAATCCAACGCAATGCTTCAATGATTACTCCAAGTTCAGCAGAAAATACTGACAAGTAAGCAGCCAATCTTATAGAAATGTCTCGTTTTTCATTGACAATGAAGACACAAGAACCAACGCGACTGGACACTGGGCAATCAGATCCATCTGTGTAAATTTGCATGGCTTTTATCCACTGTAAACTATCACAACTATATCTACATGTATGGTCACGTGTCTCGGAGCACCATTACAAGACTGTGGGACCTTTATCAGACATACGTGACAACACGTGACCTTCCCAGATCCGGTCGACATCGTATCACTGCGACTGGAGCAGAGATGACAGATTAATACGGCTGCGTCACTTACGTGAAAGAACCACCACGGCACCACACCTACGGCAATACCAGGATTACGTAGGATATAAGTGAAGAAAATACACGCATATTATACGACCTTTTGACGAAAAGACCAATGTACAGACCTTACTGAGTGAAGCTTAACCAATCTGCGTCCAAAACATGGATTGTTTTCTTAACATGTTTCACCCTTCAATCTGTATACGTATATTGTACACCACATTGTCCTTCCAGATGCTTGAATAATCTCCGA